TCACCCACCTGCTCGCCGCTCAGACACCGTTCTCTTCCTGTCAGGAGCTCCGAAACTTTGCCGACGTCAGTCTCCGCCTGATTCAGCAACCGTGAGTGTTTTTCCCTTCGATCCTTTTTCTCATCCCGGCTCCGCTCGCTTTTCCTCTGTAACGACAGTTCCGAAGCCATGCTTCGTGCGCTGATCGTTACTAGAATAACTGCGTGTCTGTTCCAGCTCAGCGCTAGCCTTCGCCGCGTTTGGGTCTAGCCAGCACGCCACATGGGCACGCCGAACTACTGTGTGTAATTCGCCTGACCGTGACAGGATGTCTGAGCCACATATAGACCCAGCGGAATTCGAACGGCTGAAAGCTGAAGTACTATATCTTCGCGGTGTGGTAGATCGGATGAGCACAAAAATGGAGTCCCTCACCGAAACTGTCCTCCAACTTTCCACTTCCGTCACCTCGCTGCAACGGCAGCCAGCGCCGGTGAGCGCGGAGCCCCGGATCGGACTACCAGATAAGTGGAACGGAGTTGATGGCCGGCCTGATGGTTTGCTCGCCACTCTAGACATGCTGTTTGAATGTCAGCCCACTAAATACGCCACCGCCCATGCAAAAGTTGCACTACTAACCTCTCTCTTGTCTGGCCAGGCTCAGGAATGGGCCGCGGCTCTCTACAACAACAAATTCGCAGCTTGCAATGACTATGCCCTGTTTGTGGACGAATTAAAAAAGACGTTTGTTCCCCCGAGCAGTGAAGTGGAAGTGGAGTCACAGCTGCTTCATTTACACCAGGGCAGTCGACCCGTCTGTCACTTTGCCTCTCAATTCCGCACCCTGGCCGCTAAACTAAAGTGGGGAGATACTTCTCTGCGTTCTATTTTTCTGGAGGGACTGGCTGATTACATCCGAGACGAGATGACCGGCCGTGAGACCCCAAAATCTCTGGATGAGGCAGTGGACCTCGCCCTGAAGATCGACCAACGAGTGATGTCGCAGCCTCGCCACACCCCTCGGGCCTTCAAACCCTTCCAGCCTCAGAGGGCCACGTCTTCGCAGCCTCCTCCCCCCTCTGATGGAGCCACTGCTAGCCCAATCAGTACATCCAGCGAGGAGCCCATGCAGCTGGGTAGACTCTCCAAAGAGGAGAGAGAGAGACGCTGGCGTGAGGGTCTCTGCGCCTACTGTGGTTCGGCTCGACACCGTCGTCCCCAGTGCCCGCTACGTCCGGGAAACGACGACGCCAGGTAGACAGCGGGGGAGTCCCACCTGGCCCTTCCCACTCCTCTGACCCCTCCCGTTTTCTGTTACCAGTAATATTCCACCTGAAACACCAACAGGTCTCATCTGAAGCCCTCCTGGACACCGGAGCCGCTGAGAACTTCATCGACCAAAAACTAGCCTCTCGACTTCGCATTCCGTTGACTTCCGTCGATCGATTTCTCCCGGTGACCTCAGTAGATGGGCGACCCCTCCAACCCTACCCGATCCAGTTCCAGACCCAGCCAGTTCGCATGTCTATTGGGGACCATCAGGAGGAGATCCGGTTTCTAGTAGTCTCGGCCACTTCCCCTCCTCTTATCCTTGGATACCCCTGGTTCCGTCAACATGACCCCCACGTCTCCTGGTCTTCCTGCCAGATCCTGGATTGGGGTCCCCAGTGTCCATGCCGCTGCCTTCTCTCTCGGACTGAAAAGGACTCACAGTCAGAAGAGGCGTCACCCCCGGAGCCCATTGATCTGGATAAGATCCCTCCGGCTTACCATGACCTATCTGAGGTCTTCAGTAAGAGGTGAGCCTCTACTCTACCTCCTCATCGCTCCTACGACATGGCCATCGAGCTCCTCCCGGGAGTGGTCCCTCCTCGTGGTCGCCTGTTCTCTCTGTCACCCGCAGAAAATAAAGCCATGGAGGAGTACGTTGCTGAGGCTCTCCAACAGGGCTTTATTCGCCCTTCTACCTCCCCTGCAGCTGCGGAATTCTTCTTTGTCAAGAAGAAAGATGGCGAGCTCCGCCCCTGTATAAAGTCACTGTCAAGAACCGCCATCCTCTTTCCCTGCTATCCACTGCACTCGATTCCCTCTCCCAGGCCTGCATCTTCACCAAACTAGACCTATGCAGCGCCTACAATTTGGTGCGAATCAGGAAAGGGGACGAATGGAAGACAGCCTTCATCACCCCTAACGGGCACTGGGAGTACCTGGTGATGCCCTTCGGCCTCTGCAACAGCCCTGCTGTCTTCCAACATCTGATCAACGATGTCTTGCGGGATATGCTAGGCCGGTGGGTGTTTGCTTATCTAGACGACATCTTGATCTACTCCCGCACCGAAGTGGACCATATTCGCCATGTGCGGGCCGTGCTGAGCAGGCTGCTCGAGTAACAACTGTTCTGCAAACTGGAGAAGTGTGCTTTCCATCAGCGGTCCACCACCTTCCTAGGCTTCACCATCTCCTCCAATGGCCTGACCATGGACCCGCAAAAGGTCCAAGCCGTGACCCAGTGGCCTCAGCCCTCCAGCCTTAAGCAGCTACAGAGCTTCCTGGGCTTTGCCAATTTCTATCGGCGCTTTATCCGCAATTTCAGCACAGTTGTCGCCCCACTGACGTCCCTCACCAAACCAGCTAACCTGCCTAAGCCCTTCTGCCTCTCCCCAGATGCAAAACAGGCATTCCGAGACCTTATCCACTATGGCCCCCGTCCTGCTCCACCCTGATCCTGCCAGAGAGTTTGTGGTGGAGGTGGACGCCTCCGATGTTGGCGCTGGCACCGTCCTTTCTCAACACGGCCCGGATGGAAAACTTCACCCATGCTGCTATTTCTCAAGGAAATTCTCTGACATGCAGCGACGGTACGGTGTCGGAGACCGAGAACTCCTGGCCATCAAGTGGGCCTTAGAAGAGTGGCGGCATTGGCTCCTGGGAGCGAAAGACCCGTTTCTGATCTGGACTGATCATCAGAACCTGATCCATATTCGCTCTGCCAAGCAGCTCAACCCAAGGCAGGCCCGTTGGGCCTTATTCTTTGAGCCTTACAATTTCCACCTCGCCTACCGCCCTGGTTCCAAGAACGCTAAGGCAGACACTCTCTCCAGACAGTTCGCCCAGGACGGCCTCACGTCAGACCCTGGACCTATCCTGCCTTCTCATTGCTTCGGTGCCCCCCTTCGGTGGCCCTTGGAGGACTCTATCCGGGACACCCTGACCGCCGAACCACCTCCGCCTGACACCCCGGCTGGGAGGCTGTATGTACCATTCCAGTGGCGTCAGGAGGCCTTGCTCTGGGCTCATTCCTCCCCGCTCTCTGGTCACCCGGGACCCGACAGGACCCTCCAACTCCTCCGTCGTGCCTTCTGGTGGCCCTCCATGACTCGGGACGTCCGTGAATTCGTTTCCGCCTGTGACACCTGTGCTCGGGCCAAGTCCTCCACTCAGCCGCCCGCTGGCGACCTTCGCCCTCTCCCTGTGCCGAGACGTCCCTGGTCCCATGTCGGCCTTGACTTTGTTACCGGCCTCCCATCCGTGGATGGTCTGGACACCATCCTCACCTTTGTAGACCGATTTCTAAGGCGGTGCACCTGGTCGCTCTGGCCGGCCTCCCTTCCGCCACACGGACGGCCGAGCTCTTCCTGGACCATGTCGTCTGGCTTCACGGATTCCCCAAGGACATAGTCTTCGATCGGGGGCCCCAGTTCACCGCCAGGTGCTGGAAAGCCTTTTGCCGCCTGATTGGAGCGTCTCCCAGCCTCTCGTCCGGCTATCACCCTCAGACCAATAGGCAGGTTGAACGGACCAATCAACAGTTGGGGCGCTTCTTGAGGTGCTTCGTCTCCGCTCAACCGTCGCTTTGGCCTCGTTACCTGGTGTGGGCTGAGCTATCTCATAACCTTCACGTCTCTTCTGCCACCGGTCTCTCGCCCTTTGAAGTCTGTCATGGTTTTCATCCTCCCATCTTCAGCCATCAGGAGGCGGGGGTCAACGTGCCTGCTGCTGAACGGATGGTCCACCGCTGTCGTCAGGCCTGGATCAAGGCTGCCATTTCCCGGGCCAACGCTCTGTACACCCGGCAGCATCGTCGCCGCCACCGCCCGGGTCATCCATTCCGGCCGGGGGATCACGTCTGGCTCTCCACGAGGCACCTGCGGCTACGCACCGAGTCCAAGAAGCTTGCTCCCAGGTTCATTGGCCCGTACGAGATCACTGCCCGGCTCAACCCCGTGACTTATCGTCTCCGGTTTCCACCCGCCATGAGGGTCCATCCGGTTTTCCACGTCTTGCAGCTTAAACGGCGCGTCACTTCCTCGCTGGCGCCCCCCTCCCGGGTCCCGCCCCCGCCCAGGTTCGTCGATGGGGATCCTGTCTACACTGTCCGGCGGATCTTGGACTCCCGTCCCCGGGGTCGGGGGGTCCAGTATTTGGTGGATTGGGCTGGCTACGGTCCTGCAGAGGATGTACTTCCTGAGGCAGCTGAAGAAATTCAACCTGCCAACACGGACGATGATGCAATTCTACACTGCAATCATCGAGTCCATCCTCACCTCCTCCATCACTGTGTGGTACGCTGGAGCCACTATCAGGGACAAACAGAGACTGCAGC